GACATTTTGAAGCCCCTCCCCCATCCCTTAAAGTCTACGTAGACTTTCATGCCTATGAAAAAATAAATATCATATGTGTATTTATCATTTGAAATCGACTTTTGCAGATTATATATTTAATATGCATCAATGAATATTACACACTGACACACAGACTGAAATATATGAGCGTACATTTTGACATAAAATTGACACATAATAGACGCAAAATTCAGCTTATTGAAACGTACTTTCGAACTTTTCAGTCTCGGAGCACTTAATTTTACATTACATGTTTGTTTACGTCTCATCCTTTATGTCAAAGATGGATTCCGTCACGTGAAAGATTAGGTATTTCTAAGTGTGTAGTTCGTCCGTTCGTCGGGTTCAAAAACAAGGGACATCCATAAAACTTACGATCATGGTTGTACAGTACTTTTGTGAAAACTTAAAAACTTGATACGAATGCGATTCAATATGATAAAATGTCCACTGATTGATTTTAAATCATCAAAACAGTTTTTAAACTATTCTCACTAGAAAATTTTACCAGTATGGGATGTGTCTCAATAATTTAAACGACAGTGTCGAAGATGTTCTTTTTTTAATTCGTTTGTTGAACGTTTCCATTAAATACAGGGAAGTAGCCAGTGAAACTAACCGATTATTATATACGTGGATAAACAAAGCTACTTTACAAACTCTTTCAAATGTGTATGAAAGTGTCTCAAAAGATCATCTAAAATTTAAAACTTTATCAGAAAAGTTAAGCGATCAGCCCAAATACCAACTGTCATGTTCGAATACATGATAGAAGAAAATACGAAAAACAAATCACATTAACGTAGGGGAATTTATATATTCTCGTCAATCAAAGCAGCGTCCGCGCTTCTATGAACTTTTTCTCGACGTAACGCACACATATGCAATATTTTTTTTTAATTAACATTCATCTGCTGCCTGCTGCTCTATCCATTCCAATCGATATAATTGTTCAAAACCGATTTAAAACGCTTTTACAACGCTCCAAACTACTCAGATGATTTTGACTATTGTTGGCAACCTCTTTTTCTTCGGCAACCATTCCATTTGAACTGCGTGTTAATCTGTTGTTCTATTATCGGCAACTCGAAATCAGTAACATTGTGTAATGCGTATGTTTAATTTCAAGAAAGGTAAAATGCGTTTGCGCAGTCGTAAAAACCTAATCAAATTGAAGCTGAAAGACTATGGAATCGTTTGAATACATTCGGCCAGGGGTTTTGGAGCGAATAAGCAGAGAAATCACCGTATAAATTTTGAGTGCCGAAACAGTCAATGGGTGCAAGCCGAGATTTACCCTATTTATTGTTAAGTGCAACATATTGTTAATCTATTTTGAGAGCAAATGCGTTTGATATAAACAAAATGATTCGCATATTGTTTGCATACGAATCGGAAAATGTACGCCATTGACCATAACTGACGCAATCTGATATTTTGGAAAACAAATTTGAACTACGTAGACTTTGTCAAATAACTCCCCCTCCCCCTTCTTAGACTAGCGTAGACTAATTACTACCACTTCCCTCGTCTGTATAGTCTACGTGGTTTTTGAACGGCCCCTAACATAAAGAGGGTGACCGGACATTAGCCATAAATACAGGGTGCGTGACGAATTTTTGCAGTAAATTTCAAATAGTAATTTCTCATGCTTGCGGATCATGATTTAGATATATTTGGCAGCACTGAATTGCTCATACTGTTAGGTGTAAGATGTAAACAAACAGTGTTGAGTAAACGTAAAGATGTCGAAACAAGAGAGCAATCTGTCAGCCGTTGTCGCTTTGTTGCGCGCCGGAGTAAGCGTAATAGAAATAATTCGGTGGATAAATGTGTCTGAAAGAACAGTGTATAATATAAAAAAGGCCTGGGAAAGTGATAAAACGGAGAACCTGCTCATACTGCTAATAAAACACAGAAATGGCTTGCTGAAAATATTTCGGAATTTTGGGAAAAAGAAATTTGGCCCCCAAGCAATCCCGATATCAATCCGTTGGATTATTTTGTACGGGGCATCGTCGAACGGAATACCAATAGAACCCCTAACACCACACTCAAGTCCCTAAAAGCTAAAATCAAGGTAGTGATGACATCTATGGATTAAAACATTGTCAAACGTGCATATGGCAGTTTCCGGAAGCGTCTAGCTACAGTCGTCGAAAGGGAAGGCGATTTTTTTGAATAAAATTAGTTACAACTTCCATATTTTGCGAAAGAAAATAAATCACATAACATTCATTGCTAGAATAGCTAACTGGTGTAATTTTTCTCAAATATGTCATTTACTGCAAAAATTCGTCAAGCACCCTGTACGTTAGCCTTACGGATGTTTGCCATACGTATAATTGTCATAAAGACGATAGCATAATAGACGATAGCCATGATGTACAGTAGCCATAACAGACGTTAGCCATAATTTCGTTGTCTTTGGATTTTTTGATTCCAATTACAATGCAGTACCCGTTATATGTATTTTGACAACAAGCCCAAAAATGTAGTGTTGCAAAAACCGAACGGTTTATTTTTGATATTTCTTTTATCATTAAAAAATTGTATCATGAAATACTCATAAATTATGTTGCTCTTGGAATTGACTCCTTCTTTGTATTTTGAGCTGTTCTTTGACAAATAAAAACCTTTTGAAAATTTCATCTGAAAATTATAAAAAGTAACATCTTTCTTGGATCTGACTTCTTCTTTACAGCATGAGTTGTTTTTTGACAATTTTTTTTATGAAAAATTAATTGAAATATTAACAAATTAATTTTCTCTCTCTCTACGGCTGAAAGTCTCCTTAATAAAGATATAAAAAAAAAATCTCTATAAGTTGATTCCTTCTTTATATGATGAGCAGTTCTTTGAAAAATTGAATAGTTTTAAAAATTAATTTATCACATTTTTTTCTCTTGGAGTTGACTCCCTCTATATAGCTTGAGCTGTTCTTTGATAGATGGATATTTTTTTTATGAAAAATTCAATTGAAATAGTCGCAAATAATTTTTCTCTTGGACTTGGCTCATTGTTTACAGCATCGGCTGTTCTATGACAGATAAAATAGTTTGAAAAACTCCATTGAGATGATCACAAATCATTTCTCTCTCGAAGTTGACTCCTTCTTTGTAAGAACAGCTCTATGACAGATAAAATCCCATCTGAAATTCTCAAAAGTAACATCTCTTTTGGAGTTGGTTCTCTGTTTACAGCATGACCTGTTATTTGATATTTTTATTTTATGGAAAATTCAATTCACAAATTATGTTTATTTTTAAGTTGACTCCTTATTTATTTGATGAGCAGTTCTTTGAAAAATAAAATAGTTTTAAAAATTCAATTAAAGTAATTACAAATTATTTTTCTCTTAGAGTTGACTTCTTCTTTACAGCATGAGCTGTTCTTTGATATTTTTTAAAGAAAAATTCAATTGAAATAGTCACAAATAATTTTTCTCTTGAAGCTGACTCCTTGTTTACAGCATGAGCTGTTCTTTGACAGATAAAATAGTTTGAAAACTCCAATTGAAAACTCTCAAAAGTGACAGCTCTCTTAGAGTTGACTACTTCTTTACAGCATAAGCTGTTCTTTAATTTTTTATGAAAGATTCAATTGAATTATCACGTACATCCGACAGAAAACATGTATTTGGAAAATTTTAGTTAATTTGATTATATGAATTATGGCAAATGTCTATTTTAGCTATCGTACATTATGGCTAACGTCCACATTCGAAAATAACAGTATGGCTAACATCCATTCTGGCACTCGTCCGTAGTAGGCTAAGCTAGGATATTTCAAATATAATGTCATTCATATTCAACTACACAACGAAACAAGACGTTTTATAAAGAGCTGTTACAGCAAGCTGTCCTGTAAATCATTATCGCTATGGACTAGGACGTTGAGACCAAAAAGTTCACTTTTCCCATAATAATTCCCATATAAACTTCAAAAGACCAGTGCAGTGTGAGTTCGCATTCAAAAAAACTAAAATTTTGGGAGAATGATCAAGAACTGATTTAAAATCGTAACTCTCCATTACTGGCAATTCCATTCCACAGAACTAGCTTTGGATTCAATATCTGTTTTAATTCATGTTTGCGTTCCTTTAATGATGTTTGTAATTAGTTTGATTTTACCATGTCCAAAAATGTGTTTAGTAATAGAATAAGAGGTTTGGATTAAACAAGTTTTAGTTTTAAGTAATCAGTCTGTACGACGTAGTCGAAGACGGTGTGCAATAAATAAATAAAATCGATTGAGCTTGGTGGAGCAAAAATGATATTTTGAACCACCCTAATAGACATATTTACAGACTTAAATGAGGATTCAATTAGTGCACTCATTACTCCAAAGTCTAATTTGTTTATTGATGTGCAAAACATGTGTAGAGATCAATATGATCGATTTAATGATGGCTCACTTTAGCTCACATTCAATGATCTGCCATTAATATAGGATTTACTCGCAATAACTACCAGTAATTACTATTATTTGACTATTACTTCTCATTGACCGTTCCAGTCATACTGCAGGAAAGGATTCAATTTGCTGGGGTGCCATCCATCGCGTAACGACACTTTTATGAACATTCCAATTCAGCCCCTTTAATGTCATAGCAGGCGCCATAAAACATCAACTTCAATAGAAGCAGGTACAGATGCCGTGGCGGTGGGTGGCAGCAACGCGACGCACGTAGCCACGCGCATCAGAACAAACAGGAGAAAATATTTCTCTGTATGAAAAAATAAACAAATAAATTACTCAACCAACCATCGACCTCGGCATTTTTCTTCCCGTGTAGCTCTACATTTGCAGTCAATCGGTGAGTGAAAGGGGACACTCGGCGCTTCACCAACAGTTTCTCCGCTACCGCCCCTTAGAAACAGTAGGCCGATAATGGAGATAGCATAGGCAGGCGTTCGGCGTAGACAATATTTTGCGGGTTAAAGGACAAACACAAGTTCATTGTATTTTCATTAATTTGCTTTCATATGGACTTTCTTTTGGTTGTGTTTTTCTACTGTAGGCGAGCTTTCAGGTCAATGGAAACTTCACTTTCAGGGGCCACGATGGTAAATCCTTTGCGAAGCTTCAGCGGTATTGGAGTTTTGCTGTTCTGTTCGAAAGAAAAGTGAAGTAGTAGATAGTAGATGATTGCTTTCATTTCCATCAGAGCAAATCGTGATCCAATACAATTTCTCGGGCCAGCTCCGAACGGTAGGTAGGTCATCGGATCTATGGTGGCTTTGTTTTCGTCACTGAATCGTTCCGGGTCGAATTTCTCCGGATTGGGATAGTACTTGGGGTCCAGGTGGATACCCTGTGTAGGGATCCAGACGGCAGTACCTTTGTTTATGGTAAACTTTAAACCTTGCCCGTCGTCCAACACGTAATCCCGAACACATAGACGGTCCAACAAGGCTGCTGCGGGACGAAGTCGCATGCTCTCCGATACAACCATGTCCATATATGTCATCTTCTGTAGTGTATCGTAGTTCAGAAGCTTTCCATTTAGAGACTCGTTTGTAGATTTGATTTCTTCATACAATCTTTGCTGAACATCCTGGTTTACGACTAGATCGTGAATGAGAAATGTGATGGTGGTCGATACAGTTTCAAAGCCAGCCAAGAAAAAAACGAAGGCCTGAGCGATCATTTCGGTATCGGTCATGCTAGATGCAACGTTCAATTTCCCAATATCGGACTCCTTGACGGTTGCAAATCCTTCATCACTATCTTTTTCATCGTGATGCTTGAGAGTGCCCTTTCGAGCTTGTATAAGAAGATGGATCATATCCGGACGTGTGATACCCTTGGTTTGGCGCAGCTGGATGGCTTCCTTAATCAGAGTACTGAAATATCGCACTTGATCACGATCAACGACATCAACTCCAAGTTGGCCCATCAAGGTTGGGAAAAATTTAAATGCAAACATTCTCAGTGCCACGCTCAGTCTCTCAAATCGCATCATCTTTTTACCATTGTTGTAAAAATCATTCTCGCGATTCCTCAACGAGTCCATTTTGATACCGAATGCACACGTTGCAATCACGTCGGAACCAAACCGAGTACACAAATCAGTCAATTCCACTTCCTGCGATTGCTTCGACTGGCTTATGTAATACTGGGCCACACTGGAACTGCATTCTATGACCAGTTCGAACATTTTTCGCATTTTGCTTCCGGTGAATGCCGGACTCAGAGTTGCGCGCATATCTCGCCATTTTTGACCGGCCATGGCAAACAGCGTCTTCCCGAAAATCGAGTAAGGGTTATCATTTTCACCATCTCCAAAAGTCGGTCGATGATCGATAAAATGGTCAAAGTCCTTGACGGTGATCTTCTTGATCAGTTCCGGGTCACGCACAACGAATATCGGTGTCATCGCGTCGAACATCCCGAAGACTCTGTAAGTTTCCAGACCGTATAACATTGTATTAAATAGCAAATAGTTTCATCAACTCACTTGGCACTAGCATATTTTCGGTGGATGTGATCAATGAATCCATTGAACGAGAATTGTTTCAGAATAAGTGGAGCGGTACTTCCGAACAAAGGTACAACTGCCATTGAAGGTATCGGTTTCTCGTGGAAATATCCATTGTTTCGCGTAAGCCACTTGTAGACCAATAATACCACCGATATGATCGCCAACCAAAGGCCCGGATTGATTTCCATTATGGCTGTCCTAGAAAGACACTCACGATAACAACGTTTCACCGCCGACTGATAGCCCAAATAAGATTCACTGCCAATTTCAAGAGCGCAATCAAGACAATTGACTAAATTGAAGAGGCGATTCATACAGTACCGGCCATAAGTATATAACAATGTTGAACAATTGTAGAGCTCTTAATTTTCCCGATGTGCATCTAATATCCTTACATGTTGCCGCTGGGTAAATCGATGAAGCTTTGAGTTCAATTGACAGAGTTTATGAAAAGTTCGACGAATACCAATAAAAGGTTTTTTTTATTAATGATATTTAAATGCTATTTCTTTAAATTTAAATCGAATCTGCTTTTAATAGTTGTACTCATTTGAGCCCTTTCAAAAACTATACACACGCAAAACAAATTTATCTTACATCCAATGAAAGGTTGAATTTATTACATCCTCTGCATATGTTTCGTACAACAAATGTAATGGCAGTTCTTGCAATGGACTGCAGAGTACATGCAAGTTTTTCCAGAATGCATATTTTTATATAAAATTTTCATGAGATGATTTTCTAGACGTAACGCGTTAACATCTAAATTACAAAACTATTTTAAAAACCTTCCGGCGACCACATTACAGATTCTGTTCATATCGCGTAACATTGCAAATTCTGTATACTTTTCGTAATATAATCTTACATTTTCCGGTTGTGTACATTTTTTGTAGCTGGATCACGAGGAATAAGAAATTCAGTACATTTTTCAGGAAAGACACATTATCGAAAAATAAAACCTGTTTGTCAAACGACTTTTGAGTCGTACTGTAAACAACTTGAATACGTTTTTTTTTATATAAGATATGCATATATGATAAGATATAAACTATAGAAGATCATATCTTGACTGTGAATTGATTTTCGTAATGAATGACCCTCCAGCTTTGATGACATAAAATCTGCTTGTCATCTTCTTTAGGAAGATCTACTTCGGCCTAATTGCCCATTCCCGGTCTATCGAGTACAGAACATCAAATATATTTATGATTTCGGCGTGAACGTGTCATAAAACGTTTGATACGATGCTTCTATTCAATAGCTGCAAGAACGCAAAATAAGATCTCGAAAACAAAAGACGCACTGAAGTGTACAAAAGGTGTACACTTTTCTTTCCGTTCGATAGGCCAAAGATAATCCCAATGGCGTTTCATTAGCTAATAGGCCCAAGAAGACTCGTAGGCCAAGTTGAGCCGCCAGAAGCAGTTTTGCATTTTCAACAATAAACGAATATTTCGCGACCCCTTATCAGAAACTAACGTTACATATGGAAAGGTAAATAAATTTGAAAGCCAATCGGGATTTTATTTTCACCAGGAAAAACCGGGAAAAAGTCGGGAATCTGAAAAATCAACTAGGAAAATGATAATTTCAATAATATCTGCATTTTACAAAGGATGATGATGGCACATGTTTAAACAAATCCGATGTCAACGTTTATTTTTATAATCGGGTCCATGCTTCGTTCAAACTAAAACTTTCACGCAACTACAGAAGAATAAAATATACCTAAAGGATTAAGTAAATGTTTTGCTTATTATTTATTGTTATTTTCAATTGGATTCGACAAAGATAGTGAGTCGTTGATCGCAGAACAGAGGAAAAATTTTAAAATTGTGTATATGCCATATGTCGTCTTAAAGTACATTTATTTGTATTATTATTTTGCTTCCTAGCTTTACACAATAGTGATACTGATATAAACATAAGTAATATGTTTTTGAAAAACAAAATCATTCCAAATTGGTAGAATCTGAGCTAAAAACGGCTAACTCACTGATTGTAGATTTACGAACGTAGATAACGTTTAGTCCTTAATCTCTCATTTTTGAGTTTGCACTCGATGAGAACATTATTCATCATCTTCCAGTTTCTCGCCTGACTCGTTCTACTGATGTCAGTTCCGAGTATTTGTACAGCCTTCTGCTTGGTCGAATTAACATTCATTCAGTTTTCTTTTACCATTGAAGCATGGCTAGTTTACTACTCGTACGAGTGAATAAATTTGCCCATGATTGATCATGCACTTAAAATCGCTTCTTCTGTTTGCACATCTTTCATAGGAATAGTTTAAATAATAATTTAAAGCAAGTGTGAAAGTCACAATATCTTCTGACCCCTCACTATGACTCCAAGGCTATTTTAAGCCTGGTCTTAAGTGGTGTGGCGGTATTAGTTTCGTGCCACGCGATATTGACATGATGTTTTGTCATGTTGTAGCAGATTGCCGTCATATCTATACGCGCCTGGCCTTAAACTTCAAAATTAGCTCGCACGAACTAGATTCAAGAGAAATTTTAATAATATGTACCTAAATCTGTATAAATTCATTTTTACAGAATAATCACGGGGGCTGAATAAATTGCATTGGTTTGATAAGCTTAAATATTACACAAGCGTTGTTTATTAAATCTTTATAATCATGTAGGAATCAAAATTGTGCAAAATCTCCAGCGTCCATAAGGAGACTGTTAAAGTAAACTACTTTCTATTTATGAGAGGTTGTTGGTACCACTAAAAGATGTGTTTTATACAGGCTTGGGTAGTGAACCGAGGACTTTCCGCGATAAATTTCGTCACGGTTTACTGAAATTGTTCTCTACGGACGCTGTTTTGCTCGTGTAAAGCACATAAAAGATCTCGGCGTTACCTTGGACTGCAGACTCACTTTCATAATGTACAGAGCTAATCGACAGCATCTTCAGAGCTAATCGACAATTAAGCTTTATTTTCAAAATTGCCGACGATTCCGTGACCCGCTATGCCTCAGGTCACTTTAAATACTGCTCGCTTGTGCGATCCTTATTGGAGTCAAGTTTAGTTGTTTGGTCCCCTTTCCATGCTAGCTGGATCACTAAAATTGAATCCGTTCAACGCAAGTTTGTGAGATATGCTCTTCTTTTCCTCAACTGGCGTGACCCAACGAACTTGCCACCGTACGAGGAGCGTTGACGTCTCCTGGGATTCGAACCATTAGAGGTGAGATGGACGGTTTCTCAAACTCTGTTCGCTGGAAAACTGCTTACGGGGGACATTGACTGTCCAACACTGCTGTCTCAGCTTAATATGTATGCCCCTGAGAGACCTCTTCGTCAACGCGACTTTCTGTTTTTCGAACCACGCCGCCGAAATTATACACAACACGAGCCAATTCGAGCAATCAGCCGGAAATTCAACAACTTCCTTTATATGTTCGACTTTAATGTAGCAGCTGACGTGTTTTGTCATCGGCTACTTGGCCTTTTCCGTACCGTTGACCGTAACTATTTAGTTTAAGTTTTATTCATTTAGACAATAGTTGAATTATAAACAAATAAACAAATAATCAAATTAATATGTATGTTCAATATCTAACTTGGTGAAGAAATTAGAACTATTTACATGAACCATGCCTAAAAAAAAAAAACGTGGTGAACTGCGGCGGTTCACGAAAACCGTGGTTTACGAAACAGAGCCACAGTGGTCAGAGATGGCAAAATCAAAAACAGAATTGAATTGTGTATTAACTAGTGACTTATTCAAAGAAGGGTCTTTAGAGAAATGGTTAACATAAGTATTGCCCAAAATCCGAAAATTTAAATAATTTATCAAAGCCTGCTATAAAAAATATGAAATCCATTTTTTTTGCCTGAAGAGATAGAAGGACACTTTCTTCGGCTAAGTTGTACAATTATTCAAAATATGAATAAGTTTTTAATTATTAACTTTTTATAAACTAATTTTTCAAACAAATGATGTTGTAAATAAATATAAAAAATAGAACTACATGTTTTTGCTGAAGACAGCATGTGACTTTGTGTATTCCTTGCAAAGTTATAGCAATATTTAACTTTATTTTACCCTATTTCTGACGGCATATATGGAGAAGGTGGCACACCAGGACATAATATCAACTAAAAGCATGTAGATTTATTGTTTTTACATTTGTCTGAAACATTATTTGTATGCAAAATTATTAAATAAAAAGTTGATAATAATAGACTAAATTTATAAGGGGGAATCCCATATAAAAACATAGAAATTTGAAGCCTTCAACAAAGTTTCATATTTTGAGTTGTTCTATTACTTTGCTGAAGAAAGTATCCTTCAAAGAAAAATGTTTTTTTTTTTTTTTTTATAATGCGTTTATTTTTCCAGGCTCATTTGCCGTAGCTTTGCGGAGCCGATATTCATCGTTTGGGTACAAAATTACTTAAAACTAACGTTAGTAAAGCGGGGGCCGATTACTCGCGGCTTTCTCGAGGTTAGGGGTAACAAATTGTAACAAACGGGTGGCAGGGTAGGGATTGAGAACACAAGGTTTTTTAGAGCAATGTGCTCTTGATCTAGAACTAAGCGACATACTGGAGGAAAAGACAAACATGGGGGTACACCGATGGAGACCTAGCAACTTGAGAGAACACAAGATGACACTAACTACTAAATCCTCAGATCGATCCGTTTTAAAAACACATAAATTAAATTAAAATAATCGAGATCTCGGCTCGCCAAGATGTCTCTAACGGGCCGCATAGGTTGTTTTCCTCGGGCCCTGAGGGATGCGGATAACTCGGATCTAGCAACACAATGTAGGGTGCATGACCAAAGCACGTGGTCGATATCGTGATAGCCACTACCACAAGCGCACAAATTGCTGCCTGCGAGCCCGATTCGGAAGAAATGCGAGTCTAACGAGTAGTGATTGGACATGAGCCTTGATATGACACGTATAAAGTCACGGCTCATGTCCAATCCTTTGAACCATGGCTTGTTCGATACCTGTGGGAGAATAGAATGTAACCATCTTCCCAGATCACTCTCATTCCATTTTTGTTGCCAGTTGGTGAGGACGTGCTGACGGGTAATTGAGAAAAATTCCGCAAAGGCGATTTGTCGATCAAAAATATCGCCTTCCATAGCGCCCACCTTAGCTAGCGAGTCCGCTTTCTCATTGCCCGGAATTGAGCAATGAGATGGGACCCAAACTAAGGTGATAGTATAGGAGC